GAGGCGACCAGGCCCCGGCCTCCCTTGCGCATCCCAGAGTGGCACGGGCGGTCCCGCAGAGCGGGGCTTGTCCCGCCCCGAGCCTTGACTCCGCGGAGATGAAGCCCGCTGTGAAGTCCCAGTCCCGAGGGGAGAGCAAAGTTCCCTCTTGTTTCATTCGGCTTCGAAACCGCCGGATGGAGTTGGGTAAATCACACACAAAGAAATAACGCAAGAAACTTTCTGTTAATCCTAACCCGTTTCTTGCCGAGCACTGTTGACAGCTTCGCTAGAGTATAGCAACTTTTTTTTTTTTTCTTAAATCCAGAGAGAAAAAGATTTTGCCGCGTTAGAAACAGAGTAACCCGAGAGTACTATACTCATGTGTAGCCTTCCTACTACCAACATCTCCAAGCCCACTTTGAATGGGGTGTAACTTCTGTTCAGAGCCCTGAATAGAACAGAACCTAGACCCTGTTCTAGTTATGCTGTGATTAAAAGGAGGGAAAAAAAAAAAATCAAAACAGTAAAATGAAAAGAAAATACCCCAGATTGCACTTGCTAACAAAGTAACACATTACAGCCTCCTCAAATCTCACCTCAGCTGTGCAAAAAAATTAGCTGTGCTATTATTTTTCTTGATATGAACAGCATTATTGACCACTGTTTAAATATTTGGAAAGCTTTTCAAATTCTTCTGCATCACTTTTACACATCTTTTGGTAACAAGATTATATGGGAACAAACTGTGGAGGCAGATCCCTCACTGCCTTGGCTGGATGCTGGCAGCCTGCTCATGTTACACTGCTCTTATTCTTCTGGAATCCCATTATGTGACTATTCAGGGAATGACATTCTGGAGGTTATGGATAAAGGTGTCTCCAGCAGGCCTTTAGGCACCTCCTGTTCCTTTTATTTCTTATAATTTTCAAGATGCTATTTCAGCTTGCTGCTACACAAATAATTTATTTTGATCCCAAGAAGTAATCAGTTCATTTGCAATCAGAATGAAATCTGAAGTTTAAATAGAGCTATTTTTAAACAAAATTTAATAATTCCTAGAAAACTGTTAAAGCACTAACTATTGGTTAGCATCCATGCAGCACAGTAAAGCAATGAACCAAAGACAATGGCAAAAGTTAAGCAGAACCTCTATGAAGATAAAAACTAGTGTACATAAATTAAGAAACCTATTGTTCTTCACTGAACTCCCATAGCGGTATAGATCAAAACAGAATTAAAGCCTAAAGAGCATAGTCCAGAATGAAAACCCAACTACATAGAAATACAGCATTACTGGTTTGAGTTTAAACATGTTAAAATCTCTCAGAAACATCACAGACTGGTGTAGAAAGCAAGTTCTTTTACAGCATGGTAATTAAACCCACCTGACAAATCAAGCACAGATAATATTATTTCAATTATTGAGTGCCACGCAAGGAGCGCGTCTCAGTAACTAAATCACAAAACAGGATGGAACATACCGCTCCTGCTGTGCCATCATAATATCAGCTGTCTTCATTATTTATTTCCCCAGTTCTGCAGCACTCATTTCTGTCCTTTCCCCTCACCCTCTAATTCATAGAACATCCATTATGGGATCAAAGGCTTTTATGCAAGAGAGCTCTGTATGGCATATAAGCACAAGTGCCATAACTGAAAGCTGGTAATCACAGTCATAATGCCTCAAGTCACAGTCTAATCATAAGGTTTTAAAAATAAAGTGGTTGAAATTTGTGATACGTTATATCTTCTGTTTACAAACAAATATTCTGTTGGGTCTGGGTGACTAAGATTTTCCTCAATTCAGGTTGTACTTCTTCCCATCCCATAAAAATTGCTAACTTAAAGGTTTACTGATTTAAAAATATTTTCTCCTTTTCCCACCACATAATCATTATTTCTCCTCATGTCTTCAAATTAAGCAGAAATCGGCCTACAAGACAATTTAAGTTCTTAGTAGCACTCCATACGCTGGCAGTGAACTGACCTTAAAGACTATTAGACGTCTCTCTCAATAGTATATAGAGAGAACTCTAGGTCTTGCCCTACTAAGTTTCAGTGGCAATGACTATTACTACTGACAAACAAAGGAAATGCTTGATGTCAGCTTCAAGCTTCCTTCAAATGAATTCTTTTGATGTTGTTTTAAAATTACATTAAAAAATCCAGATCCCATTCTGTTGTTCAAGTTGGCATAATGTACATCTGTCAAGCACATCTGTCTCCTCTGTCTAGACATAACTGCCATGCTCCTCTCCAATACATTCTGCTTCTGAAGCATGGATGTGTTTAAGTTCCTTCTTCCTACCTCCATTCCTTAGTGGTACAAAAAGTCAGAGAGAAACCACTATAAGAAACAGGAGCTGAGACTGCGGAATAGAAGGCATCAATAATAGCAACAAAAATCATTAGCATGCATTGCAATTTGTTCTATTTACTAGAGTTAAATGTTAAATGTTTTCCATTCTTATATTTATTTTTTTGTGTTTGAATCAAACCAATCTCCTTTACATTCACATTATCCTCTTAAATAGGCATACAGCAGCATGCACAACAGTTAAAAGGACAGATAGCATGGCTTGCTTTTGTTACAACATGCATAGACTTACTAATGAGTTTCAGTGGAATTTATATTTAATGTATATCTCGAAGATATAAAACATTTTTGCCTATGTGCAGCAACTCAAAAGACTGTGGAAGTGCCATTCTGGAGTAATTCCAACAGATGAAGGCACTGTAGTAAGCTTCAGTCCTTAGTTTCTTGTATTTCCTCTAAAGCTTAAAAGCATGGGGGGAAAAATGAGTATTGATCAGTGCCTTAGATATAAAAGTCCTATGTAAATACTGTAAATGAGCTTGATATGTCTCAGGAAAAAAGAAAATGAGAAGGCATTTCTGGATCGGTGCCAAACCAGCAGAACAACTGCTCACTAGTGCACTTTCTGCCAATTACATCTTTCAATCCTGAGTTATATAACACATTTCTTATATTGCTTATCCACTTTGAGTAACCAGTTCTACAAAAGAGAACACTTAGCTACTGAAAAAGGGTGATGCAATCCATTTCAGGCTGTAGTGCACTTCTCTCCTCAAACCCTTTTCTATATATAAAACATATATGATTTAATGGAAACATTTTGAGTACTTTAATTCAATGAGAAAGACATCACCACTGCAAAATCATTTTCTGCAGTGACCTAGCAACCTTCACTGTTTTATTATCTAGAAATTTTTCTTTTCTTTTGTATAAAAGTTGGTCCCTCTTGAGAATTATTTAACAAGACAAGAATCCTTAGTCTACAGACCTTTGACATGGGTTGATATTCAGGGATTATAGGATTATAGAGATTTCTTTGTTCTGAAGGATTCTCTTTCTAAACTGTTATAGTTAAGACTATTGGCATATAATACTAGAATTGCTCTATGCTACAGACTGAATGACCACAGCAGTGTAAAATCCTTGCAACCCTTGCTATAATAAGGGGTTAGTGTGGTGCAAAAATGGACTGCACAAAGCAGAATCTCAGGAAAAGTGTTAGGATTACCCAAAGCAAATTACATATCTCTAAAGCTGGCCTAAATTTAGAATGGAGAAAATCCTACCACACCTTTTATTCAGCTGTCTTACATTAAGATTTCTTTTCCATAGTTTTTCTTCCCTCTTGTGATGTGAGATCCACACAAAAAGAGGTATGCAGAGAATATTGATTTAACATTCTGTAAATTAATCTCTCCAAGGACTGATAATGTTCATGGTTATAACCTCTGGCTATAAACAATAAAATGACTGATTGTAAATTTATGCTGCCTCTTTAAAGAAAGCTGTGCATAACCTAAACTGTGTATAACTGAAGCCATATCACTAGATAAACTATTTTAGATTCAACAAAACATATTAAAATTTAACAACATACGACCACTACACATACACACACTTAGCGTGTTACATTACTTCCTACAGTCATCTTCCACAGTACCAATCAACAAGATAAATAATGTATTCAGAATATTTTTCCCCAATTACACTTACAAAATTTTGGTATAAGACATTGCAAAACAGTCCTAAATAAATTTCTATATAATTGCTAAAACAATGGCAGAAATAATTATTTCTATAAAGAGATTTAGTTTCCTCTGACTTTGTTCCTGCACATCTCCTCTCCACTCATACATACTACTGCATTCACCCTCCTTTTCTTCAGTCCTTCAAACCTTCTGTTCAATATTTTGGCTGCTCTGGAAGTTAAGAATACACTAATTGCAAATTGCTGAAGTATTATTAATTTTTAAAAAATTGTCAAACAGTATTGAAATAAACTAATTTCCAAGCCCAGATAGCAAAATGTGTTATTACCGATTCTGATCCTCATTTTTGCTCATTATTTAAAAAGTTTTCCTTAACAAGGTAGATTATTTTCTACTCTTTATTATAATAGCCTTTTGCATATTTTAACACTTAGCCTTCCTTAGTCATCTTGTTTTAAAATAAGATCAGTTTTCCCGACATTTGTGTTTAAACTTTTGTTTTCTAAAGTTCTGCTTATCATTAGAACCATCATTTGAATAAACCTTAGTTGATCCAGGGGTTCTTTTAAAGATGATGCCCAACATTGAAAAAGGGTACTTGAAAACTCTGTTGAAATCAAACAGAAGCAGAAAAAAACCCAACACAACAACAATCCATTCTGCACATAGATTCCTATACAGTATTTGCCTACTAGGCAGATTCACGTTTAGCTTGCAATTAACTCAATTTTTTTTGGATGTTTTTCTATCCAGACAGACTTTCCCTTTACTCCAGTCATGATCTGATTTTTCCAACAGTGGACCACTCACATTTCTCAACAGAACAGTGTCTGCTATCTCCTTTTTTTTCCTCACACACATTTCTTGTCTTTATCAAAATACTTTCCAATTTTAAGCCTGTGCTGTCCTTGCTAGCTAGATCTCATCTGTAAATGTATCAATGTAAAGGTGTATTTCAGCTGTGCTGCCCTTGATTCCTTAACTAGGAAAAGCGCATTGCAAGGTTTGGCTGAAGGTCAAAACTTCCCCTCCCAAGGTGCTGGTTCAGATTGCAGGGTTTGCTTCAGCCCATTGTACTGATTCAGAAAGAAAACATGCCAAATGTGGGGACATTCAGGTCTGACATCCTTGCTTAGGCCAATCTTAATTTTTCACCTACTTGAAAATAACTAGAGATAAGTCTAAACATTGAGAAAAGTTTGTGGTTCAGCTTCGTTATTTTGTTTTGGTTTTCCTTGATACATCAGATAGTGAACTTCTTGAATTTGTTATGAGAAGTTGGAGACAGACAACTGTGAGGTTTAAAAATGGATGAGGCAAATCAATACAGATCAGCACCAGAAATTAATTTAAAAACAAAACAAACCTGAAAAGAGGTAGCAGTAGAGAAGCACAACATTGCATTCCAAATTCAGTGAATGCAGCTGCTGGAAAAGTGTGAAGGAAATGGACTGGAGGAACAGACAGTTTTGTGCTGCCCCTAAATAGCATGTTCAATTGCAATTGGAGGATTAAAATTAGATAGACAGTCTAGACAGATGGTTTGTCTGAACCAATAGGACATTTCTTATCTTTTTAGGGAAACTGAATCCATTTCTCCGTGATTCTGGTCCAAACCACAAAGTAAATTTCTTTTCTTCTAGTCTCATATGCAGACCACTTATACTTAGTCATAAGAAAAATACTTATTTTTACACACCATTATTGTGCCAGAAGTCAGTCCAACAGATAGGGTTGGAAGGAAGCATGGGGGAATCCAATTTGTAAAATATTCCTTATAATTACAACAAAATTAATAAAGAGTGCTATTGCCATCATGGTTGAAACCAGATTTAATCATTGTGTGAAAAAGAAAAAACCTAAACCAAACCGCATGTATATGCTTTTTGGATGGACATCACAGAAAAACAGAAAAGCAGCAGATTTTTAAAATTGTTTTGTTTTAAGCAAATGATAAGACAATGTAAAATAAGAAACCTATACACCAATTTTTGGTCATGAAGTTACCATCACTAATAGTTTGAATTGATGCCATGCTTAACTCGGTTAATGAGGTTTTTTCCCTGCTAAATGATTGCTTAATTAAAAAAGCATAACATGTTCCCTTCAAGGAGTTGCAAGTTTTGTACTGAATCAAGAGTGTTATTGTTGCCATCAGACCTAAGGACATACCCTGGGCACCAAACCAGAAGAATGAGGAGCCACCATCTGTAAGAATTCAAAATCCGATTCCTAACTTTTTTTTTTAAGCAGCTTTTGGAAAATGAAAAAAAAAAAAAAGCTATAAGAAAGATAGGTGCATTTATATGCAGATTGCATCGAGGCCACAAGCAATTCCTTCGTTCAGTGTCTGGCCACAAAATGTAATTCTTCTAAGCACTCAACACTGGTGACACAGATCCTCATTCCATGTGATACAGTGAAAGCTGTGCTAATTTCTCCCCTTGTTGTTAATGAATTTATGTAATAAGAGACATTCTTAGACTAGTTCTTGACTCTTTCTTCCTTTCAGCACAACATGTTAATCTCTCTCCTTGGGGCAGCCTCTTGACTTTCAACACTTCAGGCAGCTGATGCATGTAACATGGAACCAGATCATCACTGGGCTAAGCAGCCTTCATTACAGCACATCATCATCTTGGTTTCTTATCTCTTTGTAACTTAAATTTAAGCAGCTACTACTGATCTAAGAAGCGGGTAACATGCTGGGCCTAATCTATTTTTAAAATTCCTCTCCCATCACAAACCTACAGTTATACTCCACAGGGACACTTCAACTAATCTGTCCTGGCATAAAACTCTTCAGTGCAAAGGGTAGAGCAACAGACCATTTTCAGTAGCAGGTTCCAGCTGTGGAACTCAACCTAATCTTCTCTATTGATAACGAATATAAGCCCAAGTGTATTAAAAACTAAAACAACCCCAGCTTCTCAGTAAGACTCCCTGCAGCCATGGCATCTTCCCAGGGTCCAGCTGATCCAGATAGAGAAGGAGGAGGTAGAGACACAAGTATGTAAGACCAAAAAAAGCTAAAATTTACAGAATTTTTATTTTTAAAAAAGATAGGTTCCAAAATGTGGATTATTACATTAAAGTAATTTTCAAAGATGTAGAAAAGTCACCCTTCCTTACCTTTTCTGCTTTAAAATTTTGAGTGGTCAAAAAGCTAGCTTTATTCTCATCTTTATTTGCAACCAGATTTTGGTTTTCTCCCTAATAACCCTATCAAGTTAGTCATAATTGTGTTCTAGTTCTTTTCTATAACTGCAGGGCCAATCACAACCGACTCAACTAAACAGGATAGAGAAAAGTCCTGGTCCTGCTTTCACCTTATTTTTCTCTTCTTTTGAGATGGGACCACTCAGGAGCAGCCCCTGTACTGGACAAGAACTGTGGGATGTGGGAACACTCTGGTGCTGGGTGCTGATCTGCCCCAGCTGCAAAGGTAGAGAGGAGGCTGGACTGCCCGAGAACCTGGTGATGCTCAGTGAACCCAAACTACATGGCACTGCTGTTACCTGCTATAAAGACAACTACAAGAGAGGTGAAACAAGATATACTATAGTTTTAAAAGCATTTGTATGCGTATGAGGGATTTCAGATAGGAAATGGCTGCACCACACACTTTTCGCTCTTGGCTTACTCCTAATAAGTCTCTAATCTCTTATAATGAAAACTGATGTTTTCTGGTGGATCTTTGGTGTTCTAGTATTCTAGCTGACAGAATTACATAAAAGTGGAAAAAATCCAAAGGGATATTGTTTTCCACGCAGTTCTAACATAAGTTTTATATTCCCCTGATAGGCTAATATTTAGAGTCCACAGTTTTGTATTGAAATGATCAAAGTAGCCAGAGGGAATTGGGAGCAATTAATTGTAATTATACCCTTTTACATTTTAATAGGCCTCTTTCAAATCACTCATTTTTTACAAGTGATTTTTCCTTTTCTTTCTCTTATCCAAGTATGTTATCATCTCTCCAAAAAGGATAAGACACTTTTTCACTCAAATGGGAAAAAGATGTATTCATGTAGTGATATTAATAGCAAGGCTGTTAATATTAATCGGCGATCTTGAAAAATCTTTTGACCTCTAAAAATACGGAGGAAAACCAAATTCCCTTTTTTTTCCTCAAACAGAACTTCAAAGTCTAAATGTTACAGTACAGTAGTTTCCTAAGTTTTTCTGCATATTTCATGTGTGACCTATTGTTTAAACTGTGTAGCAGATGCCTTGTTAGATAATAATGCTGAGTGCCAGTAGGAATAAAACAACTTTTTGAGTTCAATCTACTCTCAGTCAAGGTCAAAATAGAGCTGAGACTAAACTCAGTGAGTTTTCAAAAGCTTACCCTAAATATACAATATCAAAGTTCATAATCAAGAAGGCTCATTTCATGAGTCAGCTTCATGTTTTCACAGCAGTAGAAGTAATTATAATACTACTCATTCTTTCAGGTTGGCTTGAACAATTGACCTTACAAGCAAACTCCTTCCCCCCTCAAGATGCAAAGCCAAACCATTTAATTTTAACAAAACAGCACTGTCAGTTTGACATTTTAAAGCACATTTAACCACTTTAATTCAAAAGATAGTTTATCTTAAAAATAGAAAACAGGCTATTTTACCATGCAAAGATTTAAAGAAAAAAGTTTCTGCCTGCTTGACTTTTTCTTCAGTTCATCAGTTGAACTGTATTTGTTCTAGCCTCCACAATACACAGAAATCCCCAAATTCATGCAAGTGCCAGGATGCCTCAGGGGCACAGTTGCCTCGATACTCCTCTTACATCATGCCAGCATTCACTGACTCACATGGGGCCAAAGAATGTGAAATCCAAAAGGAAAATTACAATTGCTTTTAACAGTAATCATGTGTGGGCAGATATTCAGCAAAACTAACTGCACCCAGAAAGAGTGAAACAAATAGAAGACGATCTCACCTCCTTTTTGTCATCCCAGTATTAAGGTTCTAGTCAAAAGCCAAATGTCTGGTTACCCATTACAGCCAGCAAAAAGCTCCTTCCAAAGGAAAACTCATTTTCTATTTCTTTGGCTCTTACTTTAGGACATGCATCAAAATATGTTTCCACTCTGAGGGTAATAGGGCAGACTATACTCTGATTTCAAAATCTCTGAAGTTACAGAAGTCTCATGCTGAGAGTCTACTTTGGAAAATCCGTCCCTGAGGAGCCCCAGTGCTGTAAGGTGATGTCCAAGAAATATAGAAGGAAAGGGGCCCAGGAATTTAAGTGAAGCAAGTAATTAAATACATGAAATTAGCGTCCAATTTGGCAATTGTATTATCAAAATGGAGCAAAGGTAGTAGTGGTATACTTCATAAAACAAGAGAGGTGTTTGACAAGAGGTGTTGATTAACTGACTTCATGCTTTCATTTTAGCAGTTATGTCTTGTTTATTCTTTTTAGTTCTTTAGTGAACGAAAAGTGAAAGGTATGATAAATCTTGATCTGTAGACATGTCAGTAGGTTTCACTGGAGAATTATCAAATTAGTGAATGAAAAAAAAAAATCACACTGCAATTGGCTGTAATTAGTCTAAAAAAGCAAAGTTAACATCATGTTAGAAGATGGTTAGTGAATTCCCTTAAGATCCACTGATACTTGTTCTCTTAATTAAAGTTTTGCCTTTTTAAAAAACATTTGTAATACTTACAAACTGTATTTGAAACAGCTTGTGTAATGAGCTGGTAACAGGTATTTTTGATAATTCTGAGAAACTCAGGAACTAATTCTGGGCACTTTTCATAATCAGTCACTCCAGAAACTGAGAATCATTGACAGCAGTAAAAGAGGTGTTTTTTTAAAAAATTAAACTAATTTTTCATTAGTTTTTCCTCTCCATATAATACAGTCAAAACTCGTTTTGTTGAGACAAAATTTACATCAAGAGAACAAAATAACATTTACTGCCAAATACACTATATAGTACAAAGTCTTTTTCCGTCTCCTTCATTTGTGGTTCCTTGAGTTGGTCTAAAGTTATGGACCCAGTCTAACTATATGATCTCTATCCTAGTACTACAATATTCACACTCTACTAGCAACCAGAATATGCTCAATAATCAGAATATTATTACTGCCCTTTTTCTAAATTATCTATAGTTAGAGCTCTTATAACCAGGGACAACATCCATATAGGAGTCCAAGTCATGTACAGAAGGATACTCAAAAGATTATTTTTTCTGTCTGTATCTGCAGTAATATTTTTTTCTAAATTTCCCAATTTTTTATTAACTTACTTTAGTCTGTTTCACAGACTAGTAAGAAATCCAAGGTAATCTCTCCAAGTGCTTGAGATCAGGTACATGGGAAGAGAAGAAACAGAACAGAGGCAGGATTTTTTTAATCGGATTTGGCCGTTAGGTAAGTGCAGCAGCTCTTTTGTTTCTCTACTGGGAGAGTTCTGTACAAGTGCATATGAAAGAGAAAGCAGAGTCAAGTTCTAGAGCTACTGAGTTTATTCTATAGAGCCAGGATTTTATGCATTCTTTCTGTACATCAAGTTGGGGAGCATGGTGGTGGGGAGAAACCCAAAGCCTGGCATGTACTAATATAGCAAAAAAAAAAAAAAATCTAAAGTAGATATTTTGACATCATTTTGC